TTACTTTAAACACGATCACTGTGAAACAAACACATAGTTTGCTTTTATAGTCAACAACACACATTCTGGTTTTGTTGCCCTAAGCCTCAAATATCTGGATGGGCTGTTGTGCCTTATGGGTCCACGTTGCTTCACAAGTTTGATTCAGTGAAATGGGTCTCAGTTTTCAGAAATCGGCCACGGAATAACCAGGAGAGGAAAAAATGTGCCTGATTTTACCTTTGATTAGATATTTTCCTGTGGTGTAGGCAGAGGGAAGAAGCTCCCTATTATAGCCTAGAACAGCAGAGAGAATCGAGTAGTTTCAATACTCTTGAGTCCCTTGGTAGTAATCCTTTAAACACCTCCAGCAGATTGGGAAGTTGATCTAACATTTGTTGTCAGTACCTATCAGCCGACCTTGCACTCAGTAAATGAATGAGCTGAGCTGGGACAGTGTTGCAAAGTCACTGTTTATTCGAAGTTCTTGCAGTAAGTGGTGTCTTATTTTAGTTTCAGAGTTTTATGTTGTTGCAGAATCTGTGTTTAGGTTTGTTTTGGAGGGGGTTTTTGTGTTTGTGGTTTTGTTTGTGGTTTTGTTTGTGGTTTTGTTTGTGGTTTTGTTTGTGGTTTTGTTTGTGGTTTTGTTTGTGGTTTTGTTTGTGGTTTTGTTTGTTTTAGTGTTCACTTTTAGAAGGGAAAAACTTAAAACTATGACTTGTTTGTCCACTGCTTCAAAAGAGCTTCAAAGCTTTTTATTTCAAAGCGTTTGAATTTATTTTTTTGTACGACTTGAACTTATTAGCACTGGAGGAAACCTGTATCTCTGTTGTTAGCCTTCTGAAAATTTAAAGAACTCTTGTGTCATGATCCAATAAATGATTTTTTTTTACCCAGCTTATGCTGCTTTAAAATTAGAGGACAGGAACACTGAAACGCAGCAAGGAGACTTTTGGTTATTGTCCTCAACCTTTTCTGCACAGCCAAAACAGGTGCTCTTTAACCTTTTTGTGACAGAAGAGGTTCCTGTTGTTTTGCACATCCCAGAGTGTGTGTCACAGGTTATCAGGAGTTATGTAGCTCCTCCAGTTCTGATGATACTTTGAGACATATAGTATAAAAAAATAAAGCATGTAAAATGGGGCACAAGTACAAGAGTGCAGTGTACAGAACAACTCTCTCGATACTGAAAGGACTATGAATACCTGTATAATACCTGTATTGTTTTAGTGGACTAGTCAGGGTGGCTAAAATTGAGGGTTTTTTCAATAGTGCAGCCAGGATTGCTATCTTTTTGAAAAAGTATTTATTTGTCTATTCTTGATTTAGCTTCCATTGCACTATAAACATGTCTGGAGGAAATGGAAGGGGGTTCCCCAGACCCAAAACATATCCCCTGTGAGGGTCCAAGTCTTAATTAATTCTCTAACTGAAAATGCAGACCCTTGCTTGTCTTTTCCCACCAAAGTATCCTAATTGTAAAGCTGGAGGCTGGATTGGCCAGTCTTTAAAAAGAGTGAAGGATTGTCCCTGTAATCCCACGATAAGGGCATTCCCTGGACAAGGAGAGGGCTGGAGGTTGATCCATGCTCCCCGTATCAAGTGCAAAACCCAGTGGAATCCTAATTACTGCTCTGCTATGACACATTTATCATCTCTCTTCCCTACCCACTCTCTCCACTCAGTGTTTCATGAGACAAGAACCCAGTTGAGGATGTCAGCCCTGTCATTGCATTCCTGGTGTAGAGAGGGACAAAGGCATGGCAATGCTTATTTGCTTTGTCCATGAATGAAATGCACTGCTCCGAGGTTGTTATAAGAAGAAAAATAGCAGCAAGAACTTCCACTTCTATTTCGACAAGTTTCTATGTTTTTAAAGGAAAGTGTAAGTTGTCTGCCTGTGTTAAAAGTGTTTCTGAGTCCTGCAGGGCTGTGGATCCTGTCTGAATAAAAACAACTAACACTGATTCCGTAGAGACACCTGAGGAACATGAAATTTTATGCACTTTTTCACATTTCCTACTGGTTAGTTAAGATGATCTTTGAATTATACAGAAACTGAGTGCTTAAAATAGGGCTTCTGTAAATTCTGTGGAGGGATGTGGGTGTTGAAAAGCCAAGCATCACCATGTTTTAGTCCTGGCTGCAGTGACAATGCTGGCATTCTCAGCTTGCTTTTTTTTCTTGTGAATTATTTTAGTAGTGCCAGTGGATAAGAATGAGTAATTATGGAGGTGTCACAGCAGCACAATAATTAGGATTGCATTGAGCTTTGCAGTTAAATTTTATGCCTAATGCTCCCATGCTGTCCCCCATCAGTGCACTGCATTTGAAGTACAGCTACAATTAAACCATCATAAAACAGAGTACACAACCAGACAAAATGATCAAAAGGAACCTGAATCCATGTGGTCTTAGTCAGGAATGACTTTCTTATGACATTGTCTGTTCTTGCTATAGGTTGTAGGCATCCAAGCTCTTCAGTTTCGTAATTTCCCACTCTGCTCCTCTATTAATGTTAAAGTATGTCACCTTGGGCCCTATTATTTGTCCAATTGCAACATCCAATATGACACAATAGAACTATAAATAATTTTGGCTCTGTTTATGCTTGAATAGATCAACATGCCTGAGATGCCTAGGCACAGTTTATGAACACAGCTCTGTAATAATCCTTGGGATATAAGGCCAGTTCTCTTTTTGAAATATACACTGGGCTTTTTTTCCTATAGATTGGATATTCACATCAGTGTTGTTTTCCAGGAAGCCAGCAGAACATGAATGAAAAAGTCTCACAGTGCTGTTGAAGTCCAGAACAACTGCAAAATTCTGCTGGTATTTGAAGTAACCTCAGGGTATTTTTGGCTTGGGCTTGTTTTCTATAGCATTTGTTCATCTCTTTTTTTCCTGTGGTATTCTGCATAAGGCAAGCAGTAGCATCCACCTGCTGCCATACAGACAAGAGGGAATATATGCCTTAATTTGGGGTGTTAAAAAAGTAAATGAAACCCCTATGTACTTATTGAATTAAACATAAGTGACTAATGATTCAGGTTTGGAGTTTAGGTTCTCAGGTCTGCTTGAAACACCTACATTCCCTATCAAAGAATGTAGGGTTGCAGACATGCCCCAGAGCAATTATTTCTAGGTAGCTTTGTGGGGGTCAGGATCTATAATCCAGCTCATTATTCAGGTGCTGCCTGGGAGGGAGGTGGAAAGGCTTTCTCTGTTGTACTTTTTTCCAAGCATTTAGGACCCGGGCAAGAAGATGAAGGAAAAGATGAGGAAGGGAGGATTGTGGCAGCTGAGAGAAAGGAGTGCAAGAGGTGACTCGGGAAGGGGCCCTAAATCAAGTGGAGGTGAGAAAGCAGCAGGTGTCCACGGAGAAGGCAATTGTGCAGTGGTGGTCTGGGAACAGTCAGCACATTGTTGCCTGCAGCCCCCAGTCCACACGGCCCTGAAGGAGGACTGGGAATCAGCGCCGGCGTGAGGGAACCAGCGCCCAGCTGGCACTGCTCAGCAGGGAATCTGAGTGGGCACAAGGATGTGCCCACTCCATGCCCTGGAGGGCCTGTGCTAGCACTGATTTTCTGTGAGTCGGGATTCCTCAGGTAGCTCATAGCCTTGGATGAAAGGGAAGTGAACTGTTCAGTAACCACGTTGTTTGGGTCCAGTTTCCCTGTGCTGGCATGGAAGGGTCTCAGTTCATGTGTGTACCTGTATCCACAGTGGGACATTATCACCTTGTTTGCTGGCACTGACAGTCGGCACCTCCTTGACTTGTCCTTTTCCAGACAGACTGCCTTAGTGCTGGGGTCTACTTCTGCAAAGTTCTGGGGCTCCATGCAGCAGTAACAGAGGGCTTGTGCTATCCAGAGACTCACATTTGTGGGTCTGCTGCAAATGAATCCAGCATCCTGATGTAAGGCTGAGCAGGGAACCCAGCAGCATGTTTTCATTTTATTTACTAGGTGTTCTGCTTGTAAAACTGTTCTTGCCTTCAGAAAATCCCTGATTTCTGATAAACTCTTCAAACTTAGTGAAGTTCTCATTTATAAAGGCCTTACTTCAGGAGGAAGATGGGTTACTACAGTATTTGCAGGCACATGTTCTGTTCCAGAAGATATTTTATTGCCTGAAAATACTGTTTATTTTATTTTCCCTATAGCCTGCAACACATTGCAGACAAAAATATATTTTATTCTATGATATTTTGTAATAAATTAGATGTTATTTATTCTATTTTTCTTACACTTTGCACTAAAAAAGCACGAATATATTCTAATAACTCATTAAATGACAATCATTACAGTAGATTAACTTAAAAACATTAGTGAAAACACTGTAAATTGCACTGAGGCCAAAATGTGCACAATCATTAAAGTTTACCAAAGGATGCCATCTAGAGGACTTTGACAGAGCAGAAATAACACTTCAGTGTCTTCAGAGAAACATCAGTACAGCATCTCTGTAAGTATTTTGCCTTAACTGTGCATAATCTTAGTTAAGACTCAGCTTTCTGCATGAAACCATGGGCAGGTGTGCTGGTGACAGGGAATAAACTGAGGTTAGTTTCATCATTTTTTTTTGATGAGAAAAAGCAATTTAAAATGGTGTGCAGTTAAGAGGTTAGAATTTTTATCTTCTGTGTATGCAGCAAGACTTGCAGTTTTCATTCGCTTCATCTTTTTGACGTAGAACATAAAAAAGGCTTTTCAAGTGGTGGTGCATAATAAATATTTGCGTCATCTTTACAGTAAATGTCTTCTAGTGAATATAGATGAGTGAAACTATCTAAAATGTGAGGAATGATTTTTGTTCCTAGGCCTGCCCGTGTCTTAACAGGCAGTGAAACAAAGCGTCATAATTTTGAAAGCAAAGAAAACAAAAAAAATAGAGTAGCAATAATAGTGTCCATGAGGTTCATTCTGTAACAACCCTACAAGAAAAAACATAGTCAAGTCCACTTTTTTTTTTACTTTCCACTAAAATATATGTAATTCTTAATTTAATTCTTCATCAATTAAATATGTGAGGTCTTTGTCAGGATGGCAATTGGCATTTAATTTATGTGGCAGCACTGTAGTGGTGTTACTCCCTTAGAACCTGGGAAAATGGGCTTTGGAACACGTTTCACAGGGTCAGAAAGAGGAGGAGTGCCAAGTAAACATTATCTTTTGGGTTTGAACTCACTAATGCTGTTGATCCAGGGGTTTCCTGTTCCAAAGACAATCCTGAACCTCTGGGTGAGAGAGGGAAAATGAATATTATAGCATGTATCCTACTCTGTCTTCCATAAGTATCTGCTGGGCTGCCTTTTAAATTGAAGTTTTCTGATGAGAATACATGGGGAAAAAATTCCATTTTCTGGGAAGACTTGAATTTATACCTTGTAACTCCTGATGGTTCATTTCTGAGAGGAAGAGAAGGAGAGACTGGGAAATGGAAGGAAGTGACCTCTGGTTCTCTATTGAATGGGCTGAGAATTTAAAATGGCACAAAAGTGTGTCTCAATTTCCTTTGTACGTTTAAAAGACTGTAAGGCAGAAATTTGGTCCATTTTAATCTTTATTTTTAGGGTAGAATCGAAGCAAGTAGTCCCAGCAGGACCCTCCCTGTTTGAACACAGAGATGTTACGCAGGGACATGTAGAAATCTGTCTTGGGCAATTCTGAGCTTTGATTCAAGTTTGAGGTGACTAATTGTGAACTGCTTTCACCTTGTCATGAGGAATAGAAACGGGGAGAAGATTGATTATGAAAGGATTTTCTTCATTTCCTCTTTTCTTTCTCACTTTGGCTTCAATCTAAATGATGTAGTTGGGTGCACCCGTTATTGAGAAGGGATCAAATATTGCATTCTGATAATAAAAGTAGAGTCGAGTCTGTGACAGAAATCCCAGCTGATATAAAAGAAGATTTCTGAGCGTGGCTTTGTAGAGGAAAAAAAAAAAAAAGAAAAGAAGATTTTACGCTTTGGGGAGTCTCAGAAATAGGCAGCAGGGAATAAATTGTGATGGTTGTTTCAATCTAGATTTCTGTCAGGAGAAAAATCAGTCTGAGCCACTGAGGAATAAGGCAGAGAGAAGCTCAGGTATCCAGTTGGGTTTGGTCCTTCCTAACCAAAGAAAGAAGCCAAAATGTGTTATTTGGATTGCAGTGCAGCGTGAGAGTGGAGGAGATGACATGTGTGCACAGGCTTTCTGGTTTCATGAAAAGTTCTCTAATATTTCTCCCTCATTTCAGCAGATCACTATTACAAAAGCTGATGGTCAGAGGTTCCCGAAAGCAGCTGGCACAGAGGTAATGTCAGAGGGGCAGGGAGTGATGTTCACCCTTGGATGGAATTGTGCTTCTGGAAGTGCATGGAAAGGGCCTGGGAAGCAGCAGAGCTGCAATCAGCTCCACAACCTAGATATGGACATTAACAAGTAATTAAAACTTGATTTCCTCCTCCATCTTCCCCTGCGCTGTTCCTAACCTACCTTCAAAAATAGCCTTAGACACTGGTTATGAATATTAACCTTTCTGCTGCTACAGAGAAAAACACAACATGTGGTGGTGGATTAATAATTAAAATCAGGAAACTAAGAGCACAAGCACTCGAGGGAGCCAGCAGCAATAATGTTATTGAAACAGGCAATTTAAGAGTCAGAATTTCTCAAATAATTTAAATGTTAACTTTTAAGATGACCTATAAAAGATGAAACAAAGTATAAATCATCAGCAACTACGCTAACTTTTTGCGTAATTGGAAGTTAATAATTTTCCTCTTTCTCTGTTTTAGGAGGAACAGTAAAGCCTCAGAAGCTCAGAAACCCTCTTAAAGGGGGAGTACACAAATAAGTGAGACTTGAGCACTCTAAGTAATATAAACATTGCAGCCAGAGGAGAAAAGGTGAGAAAAAAAAATAAGTTAGGGTTTTCCCTACAACCAGTCCTGCCCTTTTATAAAGTGGCCTGAGTGTCTCTATGGTGTGTTATAGGCACTGGTACACCTGAACAAAAGCCATGTAGGTTTTGTGAGGACTTGTGGGAATTGCTAACCTTGTTCTGAATTTGTGGGGTTTTTTTATTTTTTTAACCCAGGCAATTTTTTTTGTTGTTGCTGTTGTTGCGTGTTTTGGTTTGCTCTCATTTTTGTTCTACCTCTTACTTGTTGAGGAGAGTTTGATCTGCTGGCATTCCCCTGTAATAAATTGTTCTCCAAGCCCCTTCCTTGCTTTGCCTTTGGACTGGGCACCCAAGACCCTTCAGATCTTGGGAAAAAATCTCCTCTGGGACACGTGTCACACACTGGGTTCTCAACAAAGCCAATTCCTCCATAGAGAAAGATTGTTTTAACCTTACTGCATGGTCCTGTCTTGTACAAAGTAAATGTGAAAGTCTGAGCCAAGTCTATCCTCTCTTCTGAATCTGAAGCTGCATCCATGACATTTTCTGGTGACAGCTCTTGTCGGGTTTCTATTCTTTTCTTTTTAATTTGGATATGGAGGTCATTATCAAAATATTAATTATCTCTTCAGTTTTCCAGGTGCTGCCACTTTGAGTACCTGTTTGCACTGAGGGGTCTCTAGATGTGCTTCAGAGGAAGCCTGCTAAAATTTCACAACCCTGCTGTTTCTCAAAGAGGACAGACCTCAGTGTCTCTCAGATACTGGGCTCCATAATAGAGTTTTTTCATTAATAGTGACTAACAATGGGAAAGGCATTAAATCTCAGGGATCTAAAATGAAAAAGATGAGAAGCAAAAAGCTTTCACACAGCGAATTTAACTCCATGTATGTTAAACAAGGCATTATTTTTATCCTCTGCATTATTCTTCTGAATTATTGTATCCTTCTGGTTACCCACAGAAGCAAGAAAGCAGGAGAGCTAATGTTTCACACCAAAGCCCTGAATTCTTCAGGAATGTTAAAGAAGCACCATAATTTTCCCCTTTTCTATAAGAGTTGAATATTGCTTATTTGAAAGTTGTCTCCTCTGCCTTTTCTCCGTCCAAATGGTCTTACTGGTGTCACATAGATTGAAAGTAACTAACCAAGGTAAGTCCCCATTGTCAGAGAATTGAGGGGCAACACTGTGCAATGTTTTCTCTGGAGTTTTTTTAATTGGGACCCTGCCTGTGTGCTACATGTCCTTTTGATTTTCAGCAAGCTTGATTTAAATCATAACACTGGAAGTAAAATGTGTATGTGGGGGGGGGAAGGTTTTTCGAGTAGTCTGAGTAACGAAAGAATTTATAATAGAAAATAAAACCTTTCAAGTTTCTTTTTCCCTCTTCATCATTTGTGTGGTTAGTCTGCTGCTAAAAGTATTTATGCTCCTATCTCTAGTCTTTCTAATTGTGAGCATGTTGCCTTTTCCCCCTGCCATGCCGTGCTTTTTAATTCTACTTGTTGCTGTAGCATCCAGAAGCAAATAACATGATGAAAACCTCTTAATGCACTTTACTGTACAGCAAAACAGGAAGACATAGTTTTTCCAGTCTCCAAAGTCCCTATCCTTCACTCTCTTTTGGAGGTAACTTAGTATATTTCTTACAATATTAACTATTTAGCAATGTGCATATATATATATATATATATACATGTATATCACTTTCCATCCATCTGTCTCCTCCTCCACCAACTATCATCAACTGTTTGAACTCCTGTGGTTACAAGAGCAAAGATCAGGTTTGAGGAAATGCTTAGATGAATAAATGCGAGAAAGAGGTAGAAATATGAAATTTTAGAAATTAATTGATGGTAATTTAAAGTCTTGAATTCTCTCCACTTCCTCCATCCTACTTCTAAGTGCCTCTGGTCACCCTGCCTTCATCTCTCTGCTCTCCCTTCTTTTCCTTCTCTGTTTAGTTTCTTCTCACCCTGTTGGTCTGTTATAACCCTCATTTGTATACAGGGTATTTTCCTCCCTTTTCCAGCAGTTTCTTCCCCTTGAGCACTCTCATTTCCCTCTCCGTTGCTCCCCCCACTTGCCTGAGATTTTCAATCATCACTTCATGGCAGTGTTCCCTGAACCTCCCCGTGCTCACACTGCTGTACCTGCCGTGGAAAGAAAAGCACATTACTTGATTCATTTTAGAAACGATTTTACAGCACGTCAAGATAAAAAGGCTTGGGGATATAAACAAGCTCAGAAATGTTTTGAGATCAGGTAGATGTAATTAGAACACAGGCTGTTGATTAGATTACTTTATTTTGCAACAATGGGAGTTTAATCACGTTGGAAATTGGTTACAGGATTTCTTGTGGTGATTAGATATTTCTATCATATTTTAGTCATCTTTAATTACACAAATAAATACTAGTTGTTTACTTTTTTGGCTTACTTTTCTCCTGTCAGTGTTCAGACAGTGACTAGGCCTGCTGCTCAGCAGCCACAGTAAGTGCATCCAGCCTCCTCACGGCATCCACAGAGAGAGGAGGAGAGAGCTCAGTTCTCTTCCTTTGAGAGAGGATTGCTCATTACCTGTTTCACAATTCATCCCTCATGCTCATCAAAGCTCTGTTTGCTTCTGTTTTAAACCTCAGACAGCAAAGGAGAAGTTATTATGCCCAGTTCAGGCTATACAGAAACATCCTTCTTGAGCAAACACACAAAGACAGCACCGTGGTCCCCGAGCGGCTGAAGGGAAGCTTGGGGCTCAGCTGATGCACCAAGCGGGGTCAGAGCTGGACTTGGATGTCACAGTATATCCTTCCAGAGCTCTGTGGAGATGCTCCAGGTGCTGTATTCCCCTGGGGATGTGATGACAGTGCTGAGGAATACATTCAGTGCAGGTGGTTTGGGGGGTGCATGTTGAGCTCTGGGTGGGAGCCCAAGACAAGAGGCTGTGAACTGCCAACCCTTTGCATGACAAAAGGCACAGGGACCACCTGTGGCACAGCCAGGTGAGGGACACCCAGAGACAAGGCAGGAGCCCATGACTCCGGAAGAAGAGTGAGTCTGACATACTTGGACTAGGAGAGAAAAAAAGCCCAGGGATTCCTTTGTTGGGAGACCCTCCTCAGAGGCACCAACTCGAGCTGTTTCTGTGTTACTGCACCATGAATAAATTGCTTTATGGAATGAGTCCTCTGACACACTAATATGGGAAACTCAGAGTCAAACTGATGAGGAACCAAGGAGGACTGTGTAAGTGGGGTGTGCAGGGAGTCAAGAGGGGACCTGGTGGGTCACTGGAGCCACTGCTGTGAAAGGGCCTCAGTCCCAGCAGTGAAAGTCTGTGGTGCTTGGAGTGTGACTGCCTGAGAGCCTCGTGGATGGTCACACTGGGAAGGTTCCTTAACAACAGGACTGGAGTTTAAATGGCTGTTCCTGAGCTATGCAGTGCTGTGGTGGCAGAGCTGGCCCTGGCTCCTCTGCACTAATCTGCTGTGCAGATGCACACACACAGATGCACCATGTCCCTTTACATACATATACACATATATATACATATATACACATATGTATATAGTGCTAGGCTGACAAAACTGATATGGGAAACAGTGGAAACATGTCAGCTTTCTTCCCTTGGCCTATGGGGCTGCAGCCCCACTGGACTAAAAGTTGCCTGCTCCCTGGGCAGTGCACATCAGCTCCCCGATGGGTTCTGTGTCCCCAGTTTATTCCCAGGGGAGGGAGAGCAGAGCTGGCAGTCGCCTGCCTTCACTGCCACAGGACAGGGCTCGTGGCAGTGGGGGATGGCCACGTTAGGCAGGTGCAGACTGCCATTCCCACAGATCAGGTTTGATACCGTGGACATGTCAAGGTCAAATGAGGGGAGATATAAACACTCCTCTTTAGGCTTCTGCATGCAGTGTGAGAGCTTCTTGTCCTTCAGTACGAGAGAGGGAGTTTATGGGATCCCAGGAGACTTAATGCACCAAGCTGGACCTGATAATCTTACAGGAAAACTAATTCTTTTTTTTCTCCCAAAAGCTTTTTTGAGCCTCTTGGATTGGCTTCCCTCAGCTACCTGATCAGATTATTCACACTGTGCCTGGACTGCCACCCTTTTACAGTTTATATGGCACCTAAACCCCCAGAAGGCTCAGCAGACAACAATTCTATGGCTTTAATAATATATTATATAATATATCATAACTATCCTCCCATAATTATTTCCCAACTGCAGATAGGTATTTTTTCTTTTTCTTTTTTTTTCTCCTACATCCACTCTGATGTGTTAAATATGTCTTTGGTGATGGAGGTCTGCAAGCAGTCTGCTTCAAAAGTTTAGGCTACACATTGTCTTTAGGTAAGTGGCAAAATTTTCAAATTTAGTGTTCCTGTAACATTAAGAAGTAGATAACTCATTGTGAGATCCAGTATTATTGAGGCTTAGGAACCACACTGGATTTATCTGCAAGACTAAATTCTATAAACTAAACTTTAAAAGTTGCTGTTAACAGAACATTTGCCCTGTAAGACAAGTCTGTTAGACTTTGGGCAATATCTGTGTGTGTGTGTATATCCAGACAGCAATATTGTCATCTTGAACTGTTGTTGCAGGGAAGGGAAAGTGTGACAGGTAGAGGTTTTGTGTCCCTTTACCCTGTAGGTTGATTTTTAAAACTTAATTCTAATGTGTATCCTGCTGGATTCAAACTCTGACAATACGAGAAACTGTTCCTGAAAATGGGTCAATATGGTGAGGAATGAAAGGGAAAACACTGAGAAGGAAACAGAAAAATGAATTGTGTGATCCTAAGAAGATAGTGTTCATGAGCAGACCACAGAAAGAGGTGGTACTAGAAAGATAATGATTGTATTTGCAAATGCAAATTTGAAACATATGAAAACCTATGGAAAAAAATAGAGGAGATTTGAGCAGTAAAATCAAAACTTTGATTAGTTCTTTCAAGACATGAATAGAGAACGTGATCCTCATAAGGACAGCTCTTACTTTTTCTATTAGAGTGAATTTTCAGTCCTGCTTCCTCGCTTTTTTTTTTTCATTTAGTTGAAGTTTTTCTCTGGCAATATTGCAAACTTTTCAACCACCCCACTGTTGCCTTGGTCCTGCATAGCTCCAGAAACATCATCAAAACTTTCTCTGGCCCATAAGCCTGTCTCCTAATGGGGGAGTTGCCTCTCAGAAAGAGTGGTCTTATATTCCTGGAGTAAGTGCTCATACAGTCTTTCTTTGGGGACCAAAAAAAATAATGTGAGGTTCACAACATCTCCAGCTTAATGCATTTCCCCCCTCCTCCTCGTTTACCCAGTTTTCCAAGAAATCAGCCAGGCAAAGCTGTTCAAATCTGATGCTGGTAAAAGTGTGGAAGTTTAACATAAAAAAAGGAGAAGCATTTCTGTATGCCACGGTGAATACCAAAACATATTTGATAACACTGGCTTAAAGTAAGTGTGATAAATCAGTTTTTAGCATAACATTCCATATTATCTCTTTGTATAACACCTAGCAGATCTTTGGCAGTGTGAACCATTAAGGCAAAATAATACATAAAAGATGCAGTACAAAGAAAGAAATTTCCTTTTGAGGGCATAGATTTCCTTTTGAGCTCCAAGCTGTGCCGTGAGGGGAAGCACATTCAAATAACTTCTGTCCATCCACAAAAGCCAGAATGCCTCATCCTTGCAGTTTTGAAACTAAACTCTTGTCACTCTAAGTGATGCTTTGGCTGGGCCATGATCAACAGAACACAGAATTTCAAGGTCTCTGGGATGAACAAGTTCTTATTAACCTATCCATTCTTGGGTTGAAGGCACTGAGAAGTGTCTGTGTTCTCTTGTAGGGAGGTGATAATGACTGACCACATACCACCAGCTCTTCAAGCTTCTCCTTCCAACAGTCTCTGCTCACAGTCCCAGTGTTTCCAGTGTTCAGTAAGTGATGGTGGGGTTTGTAGCACAAGAGCAGTTCCTCCAGAAGTGTTACAAGAGGTTATTTCCATGGCCTATCTGGATGGAGCACAGTGCCTAGTGGTTGCCTACCAGTCCTCTCTCCTGAGAGGTGGCTGCACTTTCTGAGCAGGACTTGGGAGTCTGAAGAAGCTGCCAAGTATTGTTCAACATTATTAAGCAGTAATAACAATGTTCTGCTGTTCTGCATCATTTTCAGTCCAGCAGTGTCAAGATCCACGACACGTCCCCGAGACAGAAAATCAGTGTCCTTATTTTAGTGATGCAGATGATGAAGCAGAACGTGGTAATGTGTCTGTCACAAGGACAAACGCAGTAGGACTGGGGTAATGGCAGGAACTTTAATGGGATTTTTCTGTGGTAATCAAAAGATGCCATTTCCAGCAGACCAAGGACTACACTCTAGGCTGAGAGTGGATCTGGGAGGAATGATGTACAATGATTGTACTGATTCCTCCTCCCCTGCCACAGGCTTAATGTTATTTAATGATTGTTATACAGCAGTGCCTCAGGGCTCTGTTCTGCTAGGCTCCTTGCACACAATTAAAAAAAGATATAATCCTTAACCAAAACCTAAGGTTATAGACTGCATTTCATCTGTTATAACTTTAAAATAACAAGGATTTCCATGGGGGAGAAATAAAAAAAAATAACTAAACTGATAGGTGTATTTCAGCCAGGACACTGCATCTGGGGAGTTTTTCCAATGCTCTCACACAAAAAGGAGATAATTTACTAATAAGTTAAATAACGAATTACAGGAACTTATACTAATGATTTTGTCATTATTGTCATCAGTCCATTCAAATCTTCTCTGTGAGGCAAACTGTAAATGAAAGAGAAGGTGAGATTGATGTGGGATTTTTTAATTTTACTTTTTTAAACTTTTTTCTGTTTCACATCCGAGGTAAATGTGCTAAACAGTAAATCCCAACCTGACAGATTTAGACAGGTCTCTGTATAACAAGCACTCTTTTTCAATCTTTAAATGTCACCACTGCATAAACCTTTTCTATGTTCCCTCCTGTTCTCTAAACCCTTTATAAACCCATTATAATTTTAAAAAGATTTTATTCCTCACAGCTACTGCATAGTGGAGGTAAAAACAAATTTTTCTTTTCCAGGGTGCTGTAACTTGAGATAATATCCAGAGTGCTTGAATTGAAACTTCTGTGAAGAATACACACTCATTTGTGCCCGAACAAGAAAAAACGTGAACATATACGTTGTGTAAGTTGCTAGAGATAAAAAAATGCCCATAAATATGGTTGTGTCACTTTAAATATTTGGAGTATACTAAAGAAAGTAAATAACACTACAATTTTCACTGCAGCAGCCGACAGCTGGCTGGCTTTAAATCTTAGTGGAAACAACATTTCTGGATGCTCGGAGCCTCCACTGTTCCATTTCAGCTAAAGGCAGGATTACTTGAGCTGTATTATATCCTCCATCTCATTTTCAGCTCTATTGCACCAATTATGCAGCCTGGAGGCTTATAGAGGCTTATATTGAGTTTCAGATAGATATAAGAAAGTCATCTATATTCTCTGTGATAAAAATAGTCATTAATTACTGAGATTTGTAAACCGCTTAGCACCCTTCTTAATGTGGTACATCAGGCATTTTACTCCTTTCTGCTGCTAATCACCAAAAAATGTGTGGAGAAAAATACTTCAGGAAGAATGTGATCTTTCTTAGCTAGAATTGAATGCTGGAGTTAGAGGGATGTACAGAAAAGGCTTAGCCACTTCAAGTATGAATTTGGTTTTCAAGGGCTTCATTGTTTGTGTCTATAAAATCGATTAAACGCTGATATTGAAGGCAGCCCCTTGTGCAGGGTTCACCAATATAATCAAATGTCTCCCTTAATCTGCACAGTGGCGTGATGGCATATTAAAAAAAAAAAAAAAAAGAAGCCTTATCGAAATGGAAAAGATGTTTTCAAGTGAAGGAGGGTACCAGGGCGAAGTAACAAAAACCCCTTTAGACTTCTTTAAAAGGGCAAGAACAACAACAAACAGCTGTTAAATTTTCTGTACATGTGAATTATGTACCAACAGCTCTAAATATGAAATGGTTACTTATCATTCATCTGTTGATGGGCTTTCATAAGATGGAAGAAAACTGATCAATAATAATTTAAAAAACCCATTCAAATCTGTTTTTAAATCTCCAAACTTCATATTCTAAGTCAGACAGAATAGACCAAGTGAGTACTTAGTGAATAACTTCAGCTTTCGTGGGTTTTTGTGGTGGTTGTTTCTTTTTGGTTTGGGTGTTTTTATAACAACAAGATATTCAGTCTATTAGAGGAAAACCCGTTTAACCTGTGTGGTTTTTAAACATTTATTTCCCACATATTTTTTCTTAATTTGAAAAGTCTCCATTTGCAGGTTTTTTTTCTTGGTTGTCCTGAGATGGATGATTTAATTACAGAAGCAAATGGTTTTAGGTCTTTTATGGCTCCCATTACCATAGTAGAGAAATGCCTCTCTGGGCATAACTTATCCACATAAACTTGCCTGCAGAGTTGGGAAACAACAACATGGCATCAAGATGTCCTGTGCCTCCTGTTATGTGCTTCAGCCACAAGCCAGGTCTACCCAAGCATGTGGCTTTGCCATGGCATGAGTCTTCCTATGGCCCATGATTTTGTGGTCATGAAACCAGGGAGGGTCCTGGCACTGGTGGGCAGCCAGTGGATCTCCTGCCAGGTCCTTGGCACTGGCACTGTGAGCTGGCACACTGCATGAAGCTGCTTCCCAGTTTAGAATAGGTACAAGAACATCTACTTTTCACCCAGAAATAGTAGTCTGTGACAGCTCAACATCCAGCCAAGAAAAAAAAAAAAAAGTGTGATTTACTCAAGAGTCCTCTGACTTTACACCAAGGAGAAACACAAAGTTGATAATCCCAGTTTCACACCAGCTTCTCTGTGGATAAATGGTGCTGGTGGAAATAGTGGTGTGTAGATTACTTGATTGGACCAAAGAGAGATAATATTAATCCTAAAAAATTCATCTGTCTTGCGTCCTTTAATCACTGCAGCTGCAAAAGCACCATCAGGAGGTTAGTTTTTACAATAGAATTAATGTGAATTCACTGGAAGTCCACTAGACTGACTAGAAGTACAACCAGAGTCCAAAACAAGGCAACAGTGAAGACTAATATGTTTAGAGGCATTAACTGAGTCATCTGTTGCAGAGCTGCACCAGGCTGCAGCCGTGGAGGATCATTAGGAGATCAGCATTCATTGCTCACTGCAAAGTCCTTCAGGAGCAAAATGAAAACAAATTCCGAGATAGAAACTTCGGACAACTGAATTTAGGGATCATTCCTTGGGAATACATGTTTTGGAATATTTATACATTGCAGCACCCCCTAAGAGCCCAGTTGTGAAGCAGACATAGACACCTCACAGCTTCCAAAATAATATTCCATTGCTGACAAAAGGAAGCCTATTTATTTTTAACACAGTTGACAAATTTCAGGAAAAGTTTCAAATATGTAATCTCAGCTTGATTTTTCTAATATTTTCTTCTTACTTTTCTTCTCTTGATAATAATGACAAGACCAGATAGGGTATTACCTCATTTATTTCTTTTTGTCCATGGCCCTTTTAGGTCTGTACCTCTGAGGTGATATGGGAATCTTGGTGATGGAGTATCCAAGTACTGCACGTGGTTCTTGAACTTCCGTGAGCAAGCAGAGGTGGATAATTCATCCTGGCAGTTTTGAAGTGCAATAAACCCCAGGAACCTGAAAAGAGGTAAAGTTTTTCAAATTATTTACCGTTAATTATTTTTTACTGAAGAGTACACTTAGCATTTTAAAGATGCAATGAAAATCTTATGCTGACTGAGAAAAGCATCTGCATGAAAAACAATTTCTTGTTTTCTCCCACGATATATTCTTATCTTTTAAACTTTATCCGGTGTTGTTCCTGGCCTTCATATTTTTGCAAGCCAACAATTACTCTTCATGGCATTTTCCATCAGACTTGTTCGCTGTTATGTATTGCTTCTAGAATTGCAGGTCTCGTCCAGTTTTAATTTTTTTTTCATTGTCACCAATAGTATTAAAGATTGTGTCATGACTGGGCACCAAAAGTATTTGCAACGCTGTGGAGAGGAGAAATAAGCTTGTTAAAAAAAAAAATCACATCCTGATTTAATGCTTTCATACTATTCCTCTATTTATTTTTAATAGGAAGTGGGACAACCTGCAATACAGATTTCATAGCTTTTAAACACGAATTTACTCTTGATACTTTTTTCCCCCCAATTTGCTGCAACAAGATAATTGTACTGACTGTGCAATGGTGAGCAAGAAAAGATTACAATGTGTAGCATCCCGGTGTTTTTGACAGCCTGATGTATTGCAGCTTGAAACATGTGAGTCCTTTCAGTGTTATTCTCTCACGCTCATTAAAACTGAGAACGGGGGTTTGGAGTCTGGCACTGCTTTTCCTGCCCGTTTCCAAGGAGGAGCAGGAATAAGCCATTTGCACTGGTGACACAGGTCCCATTCACATGTTCGTGCTTGTGACCAAAGGGCTAATTTCCTGTTTCAGTTTCATTCTCATTTTCAGCCTGAGGCTGAAGGGAAATGATGACAGAGATGGCTAAATGGCACCTCAAGCGTATCTGTGAAATCACACAACAGCATTCTGTGCTGACTACAAGCAAGGGCAATATGTGGCTCTGCCACCATTATTTCTGTGAGATGCTAGCCAAGGAGAAGGAATCACATGTGTTTAGTGGAGAGAAGAAGATCAAGTCCAATAATTTTTGTTTAATACGAGCTTTGAACGCACTCCCTGGTGCAACCTGAGCTTTCTGTCACCAGCTCAGCTGTTACGTGGCTCTTGGCCCGTTTGCAAGTTCTCAGGAGTAGGGAGAAACAAACACAAGGACTAGGGAGAGAAAGGGTTTGGCTTCTTTCCTCAGAAGAGAGTTAGGATGTTCTGGAGTCAAGCTTCTTACTTGGGGCAAACAAAGCCCCTTTAGACTTAGCAATCAGAATGCAGAGAAACAGCATTATTGGTGGGGTTTCTGCTAAGAGACTGAGCCCTGAGCAGTTGTTCAAAAACCGGTAACTTGTTTCATAACAACTCATTTCCTCTCTTTATGGAAGTATATCTTGAGTTTTGGTAGAATTCAGACCGTGTCCTGCCTTCTTCCCCATGAATCACCATGGATAACAGAGCAGGAAGCTTCATACAGGAGAGAGGAACGGGTCACGCACCAAAAATATCAGTCCTGGAAAGAAAAGGATATTCCTGTCAAGTGTTTAAACAATATATGCCCCTTTTTTTCTTAAAAGGGGGAAATTAGGTGTTAATAATTCTGTCATGTGCCTTAGGATCTCTGGGTTGACACCTGACATTTGCCTTGTGTTGCTCACATACCTCTGTGGGCATAAAGGTTTGATCAGGACTCTGGTAGTTCAGCAGAACATGGTGAAAGGTGGATTATCATTCCAGCAGAGAAATGCCTCAGCAAGTTAATCTGACTTTGTTTCTTTGACTTTACTATCTATTGTACACTAGCCAGACCAACTTTTTAGATTTAATAGGACAGTCTCTTCACTTTGTGAAAGTTGCAGTTCACTGGGCATTATTCCAAAAATCATCCATTTCCAGCACTTTCAGGGTCAAAGACTCTTTGCATCTCTGGTTTACACTAAGATTGCACTGTAGCCATTATCCTTTGGAAACTAAAGATAAAGTAGAAGTGGCTTTTCCCTCTCATTTAATCACCACCATTAAGAGTTACAATAGTAAAGGCAGTGCCCAGTGGCAAATTTCCACATTATGAAATACTCTGAGGACTACCAAAGCCTGACACAGGACATTTTAAATACTGTCCCATGAAAAAATACAAAAAGCCAAAGTTTTCTATCTCCTCGGCCAGCTGAATATTTAGAAGAAAAATTAAGGTGATTTTTAAAAGATTATGTGTTTTAGTGAAGGTGCAGTGTTTAGAGTAGAGTAAGGATTTAAAGCTCAACAAACTAAATGCTATCATTTCTATTTTTTTTCCAAGTAGACAGAGCACTGCTATAGCCTACCTGAAGAGAACTCTTGGGTTTTCCCCTAAAGGCTGTGAATAGTTAGGCTTTAGGTTCAACTTAAAGCTGGGCAAATAAAAGGAAAAAATAAATCACAAATGTTTGGAGTTATGTTGAAAGGGAAACACCTGGCCATGTCCTATTGATTTTTATGTTCATCTCTTCAGAAATATTTGTATTCATGTGAGTGAAATTTTATTTGTACGAAAGTCTGAGAAATAGACTTTCAGGTTGTAGGCTGAAATCAGTTTGGTAGTATACCAAATCCATTTCAGGTCAAAGTGAAAGTAACAGCTTTCTGGTTTTAAATTTGTCAGAAGGCTCTTTTTTCTCTCTTCCCTTTTCCCCTACCTCTTCCCTAGGAAGCACTCAGAGTAGGAATGGCTCATGATATCAGAAAACATGCCTTCACCGAAAGAGTGGTCAGGAAAGTGATGGAATCACCATCCCTGGAGGTATTTAAAGGTGTATAGGCATGACACTTAGTTTAGTATCATGATTTAGAGGTGAACTTTGCAGTGATGGGTTAATGGTTTGACTCAATGGGCTTAGAGGTCTTTTTCAACCTAAATGATTCTATGACTCTAAATGACCCAGTTCCTTGCTGTCCCAGGTGCCGCTGTTATCTAGCTCCAAATACAAATTCAGCACTCAATAGAACAATTCAGTATCTCCAATAATGAAACTCTGTAATATTTTGCTTTTTAGAATCATGATAGAATAATCTTTAACAGCCACATTGTACACATTCTTTTATACCTCACCCTGGGGTGATTGTTGATCTATCTGAATTGGTTTTTTTCTCTTTCTTTCTGTCTGTCCACTACAAACTTCTTCCCAATCAGTTATACACTTCTTCCTAATCAGAACCACCCTGAGAAGGACATGCTTTTGAAAACAATTTGAATCTTGTCCTTGAAGTTCTAAACAAGATCTAGGGAGACCTGTTCAAAGAAATTTCCTCCTTCTTCCTGCACATCCTGCTGCCCTTTCTGTTGCCTCTCACTTCTGTGCAGGTGATATCTGCCAATGAATTAGGAAGATGTACTGAGACTTCTCTGAAACAAGCAAATCTTTGCTGAAACACACTCTTCCAAAGGTTCAGCAAGAAGATATTATTCTTGTAGTGCTAACAGTAGGATTATGAACACCAAAATATTCATGGATGCCCTTCATAAGCAAGCAAAGAACTCTGCTGACAGAGGGGTCTGTGAGGAGGGCAGCTGAACCAGAAACCTTTGAGGCAGGCTGGATTCCATGGCACACAGCCATGTATCCTTGCCATGAGGGAAAGTCTGGCCATTAGGTCTTGTAGCCAACTTTCTTAAAATGATCCAAAATATCTGGCCAGAGGTATTTAGAGGTGCTCAGAAACACACAAGTTTTGCAATATGTTAAAAAGAAAACTCCCAAACGCTCAAACTTTTTAATCTGTTAACCTGGCTTCCCATAAGTGCCTTTGCTTCAGTCTGTCTCCTCCATGAATGTGTTTAAATATAATGAAGTGTACCATCAAGAAAAGGGAAGAGCAGAAGCATACCCCAAGGTTACCTACTACAAACAGCAATATTAATTCTCTAAACAGAATTTTCAAGCATGTCATTGGGCAAATGTTGCTGACATAAGATCTCCAGATAATTACAGACTGCAGCAGCATTTGGAAAAGTGAAAGTATCTTTGTGAACAATAAATTCATTTATTTGTTCTACATAGATTATATATAGGACAAATGGCAGAGGCAGATGTATAGTTCATGTGTTACTTAATAGGCAGTGGTTTCCTTCAGTGGTAATGACAGTACCTTGACTGGTGGTGCACAAGAGAAGAGAGTGTGGTCAAATTAGCAGAGAAAATGGGTTTCATAAATGTAGTAATATTGAACATATCACGACATTGGTATTTGGTCAAATTCTTTCCTTGGCCAGCAATCAGATAGGTAATTCTAAGAGCAATCAGGCAACTCCAGAATCCTCTAGAATTTTTAGGTGGATGTGGTTTCTTCATTAATTTCATCTGACCACTGAGCAATCATCACATTCTCAGGAAGGGAAGCAACATGGTATGTCAAGGTATGGTAGTTGTTGGTATACATACAGCCCTTTGACTTATCCTTTGTTGTTTTTCTTTTTTAATAATTAAATCTTTGTGTGATTCTTGACTACTTATGTTTTATTCAGACTAAATATTACTGTTTGAAACTAATAATCAATAAGCACGTATGAAAACAACACAGGGGCTAGTAAAATTGATTACAAATCTCATATTGCTGTAGCCACCACTACCTCATGCTAAAAAGCATTTATCATATTAAAATCAGCTCTTCTGCTTTGCAAAGGGACTCTAGCTCTGCATTATAAAACAGGTCAATGTATTTTCAAGTGCTTTGCAAAAAGATCGCTATTTTTCTATTTAAAAAGCAAGGGAATAATCATATTAATTTTTCAGCTAAAAACTTCCTAGGAGATTTTGGGAGGTTCCTTGAATGAGGACCCTTCCCCACCTTGATTCTACAACGCCCCTGACCATCGGGTTCAGTGGCACCTGGGCTCCCACACACCCCTGTGTTTCTGCACAGACCCTCAGAAAGCTTTTCCTTGTGCTGGCTTCTGAAGTTTGTAATTGGCCTCGTTGCCTGTGGCTGGCACACAGCATGGAAGGAGCTTCCATTCCTTACTTTGCATGTGGCTTTTCACCTCCGTGGTGTTGCTCCCTGCAGCAGAGCACGCTGGGGGACAGTGAGTGCTGAGAGGAGTCAAGTGTCTTAGAGGTTAAGATGTAAACTCTTCACCCAGACAGTGAAAATTACTCTGTTGACAGGGATTACACCTTCAAGCATTGACCTTATGTCTTTCAACTCAGTACAAGATGCAGCTGT